GAATTCTCTCCTTGGCTGGTAGATGGCTGCCTTCTCCCTGTGTCTTCACATGGTCTTCCCTTTCTGTATGTGTGTGTGTTGTAATTACCTCTTCTTATAAGGACACAAGTCATCCTGGATTAGGGACCACCTGAATCACCTCGTTTTAACTTAATTATCTCTGTAATACCCTATCTCCAATTATAGTCACATTCTGAGATACCAGGGGTTAGGACTTGGACATAGGAGTTTGGGGGTGTAGGGGGGCACAGTTCTGCCCATAACAATATGTCATATAAGGACTTTCACGAATTGGTCTTGGACTTAACCCATTCAACTTAGCTTTAGACAGTCTCTTCCATACAAGCCCCAGCTACATTCAAAGACCTGAAGCTTTCCAAATACTACAAGTACCCTCACCCCATCATGCTTTTGTGAATGCTATTTTTTTGCCTGGAATGTCAGGAAGACGGAACCTCCTCCCAACTCCTTAGCCTGGTGAACCCCTAGTAATCAAGTCACAGGTCAAATGCCATCTCCTCTGTAAAATCTATTCCTGAACTACCTGAGCAGAATTAATCCACCTCTGTATTCTCATAGCCAGTACATAATTAACACAGCACTTATCTCATTGCATTAAATTTTTAAACTCCCATCTGCCTCCTTGTTAGAATGTGACACACTTGTATTCACAGTGCTCGAAAAATAGTAGGCACTTAATAAACATTTGTGGAGTGAGTGAAGAAGAGATTATTATATACTGGAGTGGAGGGGCTTGGAAATGTAAAAACAAAACAAAGAACCTTATTGTGGTTCAGCAGTGTCTGTGTTTCTCCTCTGCTTCCTGGGCACACTCTTCTACTGCATTTCCCAGGCTCCCTACCAGTGACCAGGACACATGCTGAGTTGGCCAATGGAGGCCCGGCCCCCAAGACCCCCAGAAAAGTCTCCACTCTCTCTTTGCACATCTGTGGATACAGAAGGCCCAGTGGACACTGAGGCCCTAGGAAATGGTGGAGCCATTAATTGGGAAGGAGCGTGGGTCCCTGCATGGAAGAACACCTGCTAATTCTAAATGGACTGTGACAAGAAGGAGAAATAAGTCTGATGTTGTGTTAGGTCACCGAGATTTGGGGGATGTTTACTATCGTATTAACTTCCTTGAATAACATGCACCTGAAATAGTGGATGTGCTGCATCCAAGAGAGCTGCTATCAGTGTCCATCCCGTTCATTTAAGTCGCAGGGAGCATCACCAGGATTTTGCCTACTATTTGTGAAATCAGTTCAAATGTGTCCTCTCCAACGTTGACGATACAGGCATTTGGGAAAAGGAATGAAGTTACGGCATGGTGATACGAGTCACACGATTGGGCTTGCTTTGACTTTAAAACAAAACAGAAACAAAGCCCTGCTATTACCTCCAAGCTACTGCCTTCTCCCCTCTCCTTTCAGAGCCAAACTGTAAGACTAGGTCCCATTTATTCCTTAGCATCTCGGCATCTGGCTTCCGATCCCCCCATGCCGCCACACCGCCGCACCGCCTGAGCACAAACTCTCCGGTCTCTCCTCAGTTGCTCTTCTCAGCCCTGCCTTCACTCCTGACCACTGCTTTCTCTCTGAAATTAGTTCCTCTCCTTGAATTCTATGACTCCGTCTCCCGACTGCCCTCATACCCAACCTCCTCCCAGCCCCCTCCCCTTCCTCTCCAGCTCCCTAGATCCATGTTCCATAAGGTCACATTCCTGCCCTTCTCCTCTCTCACTTTTTTTTTTGTTTGCATTGGTTTTCATCTTTGGTCTATTTTTAGAATTGATCTTCCCATTTGGGGAGGGCAACTCCCTTTTCATTTTCATCTCATTTTTCTAGGTGTCTCCTGTGACAATCTCATCCATCTGTGCAGGTGACTCCCATCCATGCCCTGGCCTCCTTCCAGCTGTCTTAACTGTTCCACTGGATAGCTTTAAGTATCTCAAACAGGCCCCAACTACCAAACTCACCACCCAGTCTCTCCACACTGTTTCCTTTACTTCTCAAAACAGCAGCACCGCCCCCTCATTCACTGGGTTCAACACTGCAAAGCCATCTTTGACTCCTCCTCTGCCTCAGTCAGCAACGGGGCCTGCCCTTCCCTCCTGTGCCTTCACTACTGGTTGCCTAGACCACAACTAAAAGTTTACCTCTAACATTTTTTATCTGTCAGGGTCCAGTCAGAAAAACAGAAATCACACTAGTTTTGTTTTTTAAGAGAGAAAATAATAGAGGAAATTGGCTAAACAGGTGCTAAAATGTTTGAAAAAGTAACAAGGGACACACTGACTTAACACAGAGATACAAACTGCAGCAAGCAGCTACACCACCCCTGGGGCTGCGGAAACAAAGAGAAGAGATGCGGGTCTCCTCATTTACATGCCTCAAGGAGAGCTCTCCGGGGGACTAGGAGTCAGACCTCTGAGGAGAGCGCCCTGCCTAACTGCTGGTGCTTCTAAGGGGCACCATGGAGCTGATCCAGGGAAATAGCTGGACACTGATTCCAACTGTCATTGTCGGGGTGAAGGGCCATTGTTTGAAGAGCACTGAGGGGAACAGCTGGCAAGTAGGATGGAGTAAGTCCCTTCTCCCCTCCTGCTTCCAGTCTACTGGCAGAACTTAACGGAAAGTCGGCTGACAAGGAGACTGTAATTTTCGGAGTCCTAGCCCAGACACACACGCAGAGTAGAAGGGGAAGATGTGGCACATCTCCCTACCACTAGCTTCTCTCGCTCTAGTCAATTTTCCAAAGATTTCTGAATAGCCAGCATTTATTGAGCCCTTGCTATGTGCCAGTTACAATTCTAAGCACTTTCAATGTATGAACTCATCTAATCCTCTTAACAGCACCTGGAGGCGTATACACCCCACAATATTACCCACAATACAAATAAGGAAACTGAGGCACTAGAAAGCTAACTCATGCGCCCAAAGAGATGAAAGTAGCTTATAATTGACATATCCAGGATGCATACCCAGGGTGCCTAGTATAAAACAGATTCCCAAACTTTTTTGTAACTTTCACACCTACATATACCCGAGGGAAAAGCCAAAATAGAATAATGGGAATGCAATTCCCAAAGTAAACGATTCTCAAACTGTAGCACATACATGTAAGAGCCATCTGGGGAACCTGACAAAAATTCAGACTCCAGGACTCTCTTCTCAGAGACTGATTTAAAAGGTCTGAGATGAGAAATTTGAATTTCAAACACATTATCCCTGGACACCACCCTCCGCACCCACCCCCCAGCCCCTGATTCTGATGTGAACGGTCTGTGGACCACCATTTGGGAACACGAACTTGGCAGGGGTTGGTGAGAAAATAAGAGAGGATATAACTTGAAAAAGTCCACTTGCCCCCAGATTGAGAATCAGCCTTCAACACAACTCTGATCACATCGTGTTCTGCTTAAAATCCCTCAATTCCACTCAACAGACTTATTCAGCAGATTCATGCAAATATTTATTGAACACATACTACGCGTTAGACAGTATTTTAGGTGCTTGGGATACATCAGTGAACAGAACAAAGATCCCTCATGGACCTTATAATCTGACAGGATGGAGAGGGAGACAGTATGCAGTAGACAATAAATGAATCACACAGTATGTTAGAAGGTGGTAAGTGCTATGCGGGAAAAGGTAGCGTAGGGTAAAGAAGAGGAAAAGGGCAAGAGAAGGATGTTACGGGCTTCCCTGGTGGCGCAGTGGTTGAGAGTCCGCCTGCTGATGCAGGGGACACGGGTTCGTGCCCTGGTCCGGGAGGATCCCACATGCCGCAGAGCAGCTGGGCCCGTGAGCCATGGCTGCTGAGCCTGCGCGTCCGGAGCCTGTGCTCCGCAACGGGAGAGGCCACAACAGTGAGAGGCCCGCGTACCGCAAAAAAAAAAGAAAAGGATGTTACAACTTTCAAAATGTGGATGAGGGTAGGCCTCATTGAGAAACCGACATTTCGAAGAAAGCTGTGAGGAAAGGCACTATGGATTTCTGGGGTTACAGCAGTCTAGGCAGAGAGAACAGGCAGGGAAAGGTCTGAGGCAGAAGCATGCCTGGGAGGTATGTGGGATCAGCAAGGCGAAAAGCAAGAGAAGCGGTCAGATCCTATAGGGTCCTGCAGGCTACTGTCAGGGCTTCGGCTCTTCCTCTGGTGAAATGAAGAGCCACTGGAGGGTTCCTGAGCCCAGGAGTGACGTGATTCAATCTGCTTTGTACGAGGATCACCCCACTGCTTGTAACAGGGTGAGGGTAGAAGCAAGGAGACCAAACAAGAGGGCTGTAGTAATCCAGGCAAGAAGTGCTGGTAACTCAGGACTACAGCAGCAATGGTGGCCAAAAGGATTCAATTCTGGATATATTTTGAAGATAGAGCCAGTAGGATTTCTCAAAGAAATGAATCTGTGGTATTATGAGAAAAAGTAAGTTATCAAGAAAAGATTCTAAGGTTTTGGCCTGAGCAATGGAAAGGATGGAGTTTCTGATCAACTGATATTGGGAACACTGAGGGTAGGGAACAGGGTTCTTTATTTTTTATTCATTTACTTTAAAATGTATTGTACGTTTTATTTTTAATCGATTTTTTAAATCTATGTTCTATTTGTGCACATGGGGCTAGGGTAGAAATCAGAAGTTCAGTTTCAATTTGGACAAGTTAAATTTAATATGTCTATAGATGTTTAAGTGGGTATGTCAAGTACACAGTCTAGAGTTTGAGAAGGAAGTCCGAACTGGAGTTAACAACCTGTTGCGTTTGGGCACATAGATGGTATATGTCACTACACAATCCGATGAGATTATAAAGGAAGAGGAAGTGAGTTTAGATAAAGGGCAAGAAGATCAAGGAGTCGCCTCTGGGACATTCCACAATTAAATGGTAGGGGCGGAAAAACAGCAAAGGAGATGTTAGGCTCTCAAGAGCAACCAGCGAGAGGAGGAGGAAACTCAGGGGTGCTCTCCTGGAGGCCAGGTGAGGAAAGTATATTAAGGAAGCACCTGTCAGATGCTGCTGGTAGGTTCTGTACGATGGACTTGGAGCTGACACGCAATTTAGCAACACGGAAGACACCGGTGTGCTTGACAAGAGCAGTTTCCATGAGGTGCTGGAGGTGAAAGCCTGATTGCAGACGGGTTAGGAGGAGGATGGGAGAGAGGACTTGGAGATATTGACAAGGTTTTCAAGAACTTTCACCTACAAGAGTAAAGAAATAGTTCCTTATTGCTCACTTTAATCTTACAGTTCCTTCCCTTAACATCGTTCAATGCCCCTGGTGATCTAGCCCCTGTCCACCTTTCCAACTTATTAACCAAGCTCCCCACTTCCAACATCCTATAGACCCAGGCTGTCATTGTTCTGACTATACTTTAGACTTTCCCGTTGTCTTTACTCATAGAGTTCTCTCCATCTGAATGCCTTTCACTTCCAACTCCCTATTTCCAAACTCAGTATCACTGAAAACCCTTTCTAATGCCCTATCATCCATAAACACTTCCTCGATTACATCCACTGAGGCTCTCCCCAACCTCTAAACTCTAACCATATTTAATTTGCACCCCTCTTATAGCTTTTAGTATTTTCTACATTATACTATCGTTTCATGTATCTTAGCTTCCCCTCTAGACTGTAAATGCCATGATTAGTATGCCCAATTAAATGTTTTATGGTCTGCAACACCTAGCATGATGCTCCATAAATATTTGTGGAATAATTTAAAAATGAATGAAATGTGCTTTCCATGTTACATATCAATTAGGTGTGCTGCAATACAGTGGCTCTGGGAATTTGAATTTTAAACAAGTGAGCCCCAGGCCCCTGCCCTGTCCCTGTGACTCTGATCTAACTGGTCTATGGACCACAATTTGAGAATATTTACTTGGCGGGTGTTGGTGGGAAAGGAAGGGAGAGAGAAAAAGTCCTTCTGTCCCTTAAATGAGAATCAGTCTTCAAGCCACAATTCTGATCACATCATGTACTGCTTTAAAACCCTGCATTCACACAACAAATCCATTCAAATATTTATTGAACACATACGTGTCAGGTGGTATTCTAGGAGGCTGGGACCTCAGTGGGTAGCCCACTTGGTATCCATTTGACCTTGAAGAAAATACAAACTTCTTTAGGCTTTAGTTTCCTTATCTCAAAGCCTCTGTAGAAAAAAGGAGAACAGGTCTTTGAGGAACTGAAAGGTCTATGCCATTAGAGTACAAACTGTGGTCCAAAACAAGATGGTAAACAAAATAAGGCTCTATCATTCAGGGCCAGCTGGACATGATAAGAATTTTAGCTTTTACCCCAAGAGCAATGGGAACCTAAGGAAGGGTTTTCAGCGGGAAGGTGCCATGCATGTCCAGGGGCATATTCATATATATATATATATACACACACACACACACACACACACACACACACACACAATACCAAGAGTTCAAGTTGAATTAGCATTTCTTCCAGAACAAAGAAAATGAGCAATTACAATCACACCAGTCGAATATTTTAAGGGTACTAAGTAAAAATTGTAATTAATCTTTAAGATTTCCCGTTCAATTTTCTAAGCAAAACGGAAAACAAAATTAAATCTTGCTATTGCTACTAACAGTGATCTCAGCTCATTCCTGGAATTTGGGAATTTTTCTTCACATCCTATATATACCTTTTCTCAATTTAAGATTCAAGAAGTGTCAAGTGTCAGAAACTAAGTCTCAACTACAAAAAAAAAATTTTTATTAAGTGTGAAAGCAAAACAGGTACATCTATTTAAATATTTTTTTACATATTTATAGATAAAACAAAGACAAATAATTTATCAAAAATTACAAGTTTAAAGAATAATACTATTTTGAAACAGCCAATAAAAGTATCTGAAAATACCACATTTTCTCCATAATTGGTGAATATTATCTCCAAAAAAAAAAAAAAAAAGAAGGAACTTGCATTTTCTTGTGAAAAATATAAAAGTTTTTTTTTTTAGATGTCTGCCAAGATTGTTCAGAAACAGTCCATCTTACTAAGTCTGAAAAAGTGTAAGCCTTTCTCGAGAACTTCTGTTTTTACCAAATGCTTTAAAAACCACCTGTGTTTTCCTTTGGGCTTAGGTGAACTCTAAATCTTCACTTCACTTGCAGACCACAGGGCATCAACATAAATACAAACAAATCAGAGTGAGAGTTGTGGGTTGCTTTTCTTCACACTGAGCGAAGAACTTTCTCCTTAGCTGGGTGAAAGGCCACGGTGTGCTGTGACGTCCAGTCCACTGCACAGGGCTTGACCAAGCCAAAGCAGCCACACTGAAAGAAATCCGCGAGGTTCTGTGTGAACCCAAGGCTGCCAAGAAAGAAAGAGAACACGTCTTACTACATTTCCTGTTAGCATTTGACAAACATTCATTCAAACCATAAACATTCACTGAGAATTTACAGTGTACATCCTTCCAAGATCCTGCAGGGAATCTAGAGGTGAATCAGACAGTCTTGAATTTACGGCCCTTAAAACTGAAGCCCAGTTCCATTTCTGGACCTGAATCCCTATTTTGAGATTCCCTGGCTTGTGCCCAGCAACTCAAGTTCATTTTGGGTCCCCACTCACTAGAACAGTCATTGCCATCATTAAGTTTCTTTCTTTCCATTCCCACTGCTCTAATTCAGACTTGGACTATCTCAAAGGACAGACAGGCCAGAAAAACTATGATCAACAAGATGGGATTCTTCGAATTCTAAGAAACTCTAAATGGTGTCTCTGTCTCAATTCCTTCTAATTCTTCCTACATACTGGAGACTGGTCCTCCAAACACCTGATATATTCATAGCCCCTAGCCTCCCAGTCAAAACCCTTTAACAACATTCCTCTGCCCAGAGGCTCAAAGCCAAGTCCCTCATCTTCGTACTCACAGCCCTATACAATAAAGTCCAGGACTCCTCGGGTATTGATGCTCCAAACTCATCTTTTGTTATAGCTACTCTGGCTTTATTTTTCCCATGATCACAACTGCATGGGCCATTCTTCTACCCTGGAACCCACACTCCCCTACTCTTCCATCAGGTAACACCCTTATCCTTTTAAGCCCTACCAGTTCTCAAGGCCTCGGTCAAGGCCCACTTCCCCTTTGGAGCCTTCCTGACTACATATCTTCAGCATCATTTTTTCCTCCATTAAATTCCTGAATGCTACTGTCTGTTCCAGTTATCATGAATATTCATTTTTAGGCATATGCCCCATCTTTCAAGTGCCTAACCCAACGTCTTAAACACATCGGAACACATCTGTGTGTGAGGGTGCATGTGCCACTGCTGCTGGTTACTGAGAGTGGTCAAGAAATTTCCAAGGCTGCTAAGAAGGTAGCTTCCCAGGCAGGGGGCTGCCCACACGGAACTGATGGGGTGGAAGCAGGGAGGCGTGCTGGGGACCGACAGGGCCCAGTTCAAGAGCTGGCTAGTGAGTAAAAGTAACTTAGGGGAAGACAATAAGACAAATCTTTGGAAGCTAGTTTCAAAGTGGCTCCAAGGCTTTACCTTTAGTTCCTCCAGTAATGCTGCCATGTCTTAGCAATTCCCCAAAACGCCCCAACTCTCTCACCTCTGGCCCTTTATTCAGACACTTCTCCAGGGCTCAGGATGCCCTTCCTTCCTGCTCCCCACCCCACACCTTTCAAGGCTCAGCTTAAAATTCCACCTCTATCACAAAGAGGTCCGCACTTCGGTGGAGTAAGTATTCCTCTGGTTAAGTCACTGAGAAAGGGATTTTATTATCACTGCCAGTCTGAAACAATCACCACAAGCTTGACACGACTCTCTACACTCCATCACTTTGGCCGTCTCTTCCCAATTAAGTCAATTTCTCTCCTCTAAACACACATCATAGTCATATCCCAGGCTCTGATTTCCTTGTCTAACAGCCTAACAGTTTCATCTTGTACCATGAGTGTGCTTTAAAATAGACTGCTCATGAGATATGCAGTGAGCAGTCAAATCCCTAGAGGGCACTGGGTCACCTCTGCAGCGCTCTCAGCCTCCAAGATCCCGACATATCTGACAGGAAGATAAGCTTCAAACCCTGATCTCTCATCTCATAAGATGACAGCAATCCTACAAACACTCTCATTTTCAGCTGGGGACAGGTTTTACACAACCAGTGCTCTGGGGAAAACATATCCCAAACCTGAAAAAGTAACTTTTCCCTGACACAGGTGGGCACTTTAAACATCAGGCTAAAAGAATTACTGGTGATAGAAAGTCAGGTTGAAAATCCTGGCAAAGCTCACAATCTAACGCTTTCTACAGAGAGCCCCGTGGCTGGCTTTCTCAGCCACGTGCTTAGTTATCTCACGCTGACTTCATGCCAGCAATATGCAACCTTGTGACCATGTGGCTTGACTGAAGAGATCTCCCATCTTGGCAAAACTTCAAAGTCACTTACTGTTTGTGCTGAGCCCAGTAGACTAAATCTTACCACCTTGGGGCTCATGACCTTACCACTCATCTCCTGTCACTGAGGCTTCCAAGAAAGGAGAGGTTCAACTCCGTCAGCCAGTTAGAGGATGGCAGCAGGGCTGTGGGTGGTGACACTAGGTCGGGAAACCAATGGCGAGGCCAGCACCTTCCACCAGCTCAGTGGGCAGAATAGGTCTCACTTACTTGTATGGGGTCCTCCTGAGGGACAACGTCTGCTTCATGTGCCTGCTCTGCTTCAGCAGGCTGGTTCTCTCATGAGAGGTCAGGCCCAGAAAAGCAATCTGAAAATGGAGGTGGGAAGGTACATGAAAAACACCACCACATCGAGGCTCATTACTCTTGGCAACGCATCACAGGACACTTGGCAAACGTTCAGTTCTCCCCTAAAGGCAACATCACCTGGATTGCTAACCAATGATCACGGTGAGGGCAAGGACAGAGCAGCTCAAAACAAGACTCCTATGTAAATCTAGTAGCTGGGCATTTTTTTTTTTTTTTGATTGTCTGACTTTTATTAACCTTCAAGAAAGCAGAGTGCATTGACTCAGTCGTGAAATGATTGGTTTAGTAATTCAAGCTGTGGCTTACGGCCATGTTTAGATTCTCAACACATTCAGCATTCAACTTCCAGGTGAATCAAACAACATAAGGTCAGTATTAATGCAATTATCTCAACCTCTATACGCTTCTTAGTATCTCTTTGAAAAGGGCCAAATAAAAAAGTTAATCTGAAGTGAAGAACATTTAAATCCATAAATTTGGGGAAGTGTAAGAATTAAGGTAACTTTAAAAACTCTCAAATCATTAAAACCAGTATTATTCACTAAGCTATCTCACCTAATCCTCAAAATAATTCAAACATCAAGTTCCTTATCTGTAAGACAGAGATTATCACAGCGTCCTCATCGGATTCTCTAAGGATCTGCGATAGTTAAAATGATCCAGCGCACAGGCTGACAGAGATGAAGTAACTGGTCCAAGGCCACACAGCTTAGAAAGTGGCAGAACTGGGGCGGACACCTCAGTCAGTGTGAGAATAAATCCCACGGTCCTTGCCAGCCATCTATATGCTCAGTTTGACTCCCTACGGTCAAAACCATGACTCACCTGAGCACTCAGGAAACGAAAGGCTTTAAATAGCTGGATTGTCTTGTTTATTAAGAAAACAACTTTACTCTGAATTCCTGTTTTTGAAAACTATCCAAAATTTTGAGTCCACTTTCCTGCCTCAGAGAGTATAAACAAACTTTCTTTTAAAAAGTAAAGATATTATAGCCTCAAATGTACTTATTCTAAGAGTCCAGGAAAGAAGAAAGAGAATTAGAACTGATGTCCCAAATCTTAGGTTCTGCTTCTAACTCCACCTCTGACTGAGCCCTATGGCCATAAGTAAGGCACTCAACATCTCTTAGGTTTAGTTTTCTCATCCATAACATGGAAACACGACTTTGGCACAGACTCCATCTCAAATGTCTGTGAGGCCATTGACGTGAAAGTGCTTTGGAATACGTAAAGCATATATAAATATTAGGTATTACAAATGATTATAATATTAATAATCATTGATGCTAATA